TAGGAGAATAGGGGTATTCACCCCCCTTCTTCCCCCCACACACACACGTACGCATCCGCGATATGTGGCTTTCGTGCTAGGCTATAGCGAAATTCGTGCACCAGGTATCAGGACATGATAGACACGGATCTAGAAATCATTTCTCGATCCTTGGATCCAATATTCGCCTTAGGAAAACGAGGAAATGTCAATAGCGGTGATGCGAAGCTGTTAGATAAGTCTAATCTGGGCTCGTGGAGTGACGGTAATTGTGACCGGGAACTATTAGGAGAAGGGCCAAGGCAATATGACTATATAGCACTTTGGAAAGGGTTAGGATAAGGATTTGGGATGGGACGGGGGGAAAGAAATGGTGGCCAACCACTTGTGGACAGTCGGGGATTGAACGCCGACCTGCATGAAGCGAGACCGTCGTTCTACCGTTCAGCCTAAGTCGTTGGGTATGATAATTGTGAGACAACGCTAAGGAAGAATGGTAAGGAGCTGGAATATGAAGGTAAGGAACTGGGATGTGAGAATGGAGGGAAAAGGGAATAGTGCCTATCCACATAGTCCATCGGGGATCGAACGTTGGCCCTGTACCGACCAGTCCCATTGGATGGACTATCAGAGTCTCGAGACACCAGCATAATATATATGTCACTAAGAGCATTAATTAAGTAGAGCTGGTCGTTGCTGTCCACAGGGGCTAATTAGAGGTAAGAGGTGGGATACAGGTGTGGATAACTATATCCAAAGGATATATCACCTAGAGGTGTAGCCCATTTCTCGGTGAATGTATACCGAGTTTACCCCTGGGGTAAAGTTTACTTATTGGTTGGTCAGTAAATTGGTGATACCAAATGACCCAATGTGCTATTGCTAGGCTTCAAGTCTAATACTAATACGTATACATCAATCCATCATATACACCTAATATACACATTATACACACAGGGAGTGAGTATATTGACACTGTGGAACGACAGGACAGAGCAGAGGGTATACAGGTTGTAAGGACAGGCGCTGGAAAGTGAAGGAAATTGAAAGAAACCGGACGATGGTCAACCGAGATGAATGATGTCTTAATGACCCCAACCCCCCCACACCGGCCTCTTCTTAATCCGGGTTAATGAGGGGCAGAAGCTTAGAGGTATATATTTGTTAAACCCCAGAGACTTAAGTTGGTTGGTTCGTCTCTCCAACACCCTTCCTCGCTCTCTCTCTCTCGAAAAGGTCTTCTCCTTCGTTATAATTAGTGCTAGCGACAATGTAGTCGACAGGGCAATTAGTGAGGAGATTTTACACTCCTTATATTATGGTAGACAGTCTTTAACGACCAGAGTGACGGCCTTAAAATTAATGACCATTAACAAATGCAGCCTCGTATGTGTTCCAATATTAGGCTACCCTCCCATATTTACCTCTTGATTCTCAATTATATAGCCTCATACTTTAATGATTCCCAAATATAGTTTGAAATTCTGTATAACTACTGTCATTAAATATAAAGTTGATGTCGAAGCTTAATAAGGAAGCCACAGGTTGGGCCATACATCAGAGGATGGTATTTACTGGGAGATGGGCATTTCTAAACCTGTCGCCATTCCTTCATTCGTCAAGATTTGGGTCGGGCAGAAAATAAGCTTAGCCTCGTCACGTCTGGTGGAATTTTTCCCTTTCTCTTCTATTTGACAGCTTAGGTTGGGGGACGTGGGGTGTGTAAGCTCCCTACAGTGGCCAGCACTTGTGGCCACACCTGGTGGTGTGGGAGCATGGTTGTGGCCACACCTGACGGTGTAGGAGCATGGTTGGGGCCACACCTGACGGTGTAGGAGCATGGTTGGGGCCACACCTGACGGTGTAGGAGCGTGATTGTGGCCACACCTCACGGTGTAGGAGCATGATTGTGGCCACACCTGACGGTGTAGGAGCATGATTGTGGCCACACCTGACGGTGTAGGAGCATGGTTGTGGCCACACCTGACGGTGTAGGAGCATGGTTGTGGCCACACCTGACGGTGTAGGAGCATGGTTGTGGCCACACCTGACGGTGTAGGAGCATGGTTGGGGCCACACCTGACGGTGTAGGAGCATGGTTGGGGCCACACCTGACGGTGTAGGAGCATGGTTGGGGCCACACCTGACGGCGGAGACGCTGCACAATATATCTTAAGTCACATGGGCGGCTATGAACAAAATCTCGCATTCTGTTCTTCATTTGTCAAGCTTAGTGACTGAATGCTTCATGGGGGGCCTTGGCTACCAGCCATGGGAGGGGGTGTCCCCATGGGAAGGGGGTGTTCCTCCTGTGGGAAAGGGGGTGTTCCCCCTGTGGGGAATGGGGTGTTACCCTGTGGGAAAGGGGGTGTATCCCTGTGGGAAAAACTGGCGAGCAATAGGCTACCTGCGCACGTTATAATCTTCGGGCGCTGGTATTCAGGTCTTTCTTAGTGAATACAACATGAATCTGTCTTAAATTAACATGAATCTGTCTTAAATTATAATAATGATCATAATACTGTCAATAAAGATAAAAGCTTAAACAATAAAGGTGAAACAATATTTGTATGCGCCTCCTGGCTTCAGAGGTATTGAGCGGTAGGTCTTTTTTCAAATTTCAAATTCAAAACTTTATTCGTTAACGGTTGAACATTTATAAGTTAAATAATTTATACTTTTAGTATATTATTTACGTAAGAGAAATTCATTATTATTATAATTAATACTATTGTCATGCAGCGACAGCATGTGTATGTATGTATGTATGTATGTATGTATGTGACTATTTTTTTTTAATGATATACAATATTGGAGATTATATTTACATTAATTTTCAGGGGAAATTATTACATGTATATTTATTTGATATACTTCCCCAGGAACAGGTGTTTAAGTCACATATGTATTTACTGCTAGGTGAAGAGAGGCATGAGGTGAAAGAATTCGAACTTGAGACTTACTATTGTGAATTGAAAAGTCATTCATATTTCTCTCTCTCTCTCTCTCTCTCTCTCTCTCTCTCTCTCTCTCTCTCTCTCTCTCTCTCTCTCTCTCTCTCTCTCTCTCTCTCTCTCTCTCTCTCTCTCTCTCCCTCTCTATATAATAGTGGTAGTTTAAGACAACAATGGTAGTGGCAGTAAGAGTAATTGTGGTCATATGAAAGATAGTGGTATTTAGTTATTATTATCAGGGGAAAGCGCCAAGCTATTACGACTATATAACACGGGGAAGGGGGGTCAGGATAAGGATTTGGGATGGGACGGAGGAAAAGAAATGGTGCCCAACCACTTGTGGACGGTCGGGGATTGAACGCCGACCTGCAGCAAGAGAGATTGTCGCTCTACCGTCCACTCCAAGTGATTGGACAGTGGTAATGTAATAAAATAGTGGTAGTGGCGCTAACATCACACATAATTCAAGTTTTTTAAAAAGGGGTGAACAGGAATCCAATCAACAGCCTTTCGAAGAATAGCCTAACTGTTTCTGTCCTGCCCAGCGATTGAACTCCCCTGTCCCTTGGTTGTGGGCCGAGGACGTAGGCCACTGTGCTACAGAACCCACATTTAGACACACTGTATACACCATACTTTCACAATCTTCTCCACAATAGCATTATTCTCATCATATCTTGACGGTTAGTATAGCAGTCTATACTATGTGGTATAGCAGTCGTATATGTAAGTGGTATAGCAGTGGTGTATGTCATACCCAACATACTGAACATACACAAGTTATCATACATTTCCGTGTTAAATATCATACACAGTATACACACACAGTAGCAGTGTTAACTGATGACTACCACACAGTACCAGTGTTCAACACACGGTACCAGTGTTAACTGATGACTACTACACAGTACCAGTGTTAACTGATGACTACTACACAGTACCAGTGTTAACTGATGACTACTACACAGTACCAGTGTTCAACACACAGTACCAGTGTTAACTGATGACTACTACACAGTACCAGTGTTCAACACACAGTACCAGTGTTAACTGATGACTACTACACAGTACCAGTGTTAACTGATGACTACTACACAGTACCAGTGTTCAACACACAGTACCAGTGTTAACTGATGACTACTACACAGTACCAGTGTTCAACACACAGTACCAGTGTTAACTGATGACTACTACACAGTACCAGTGTTCAACACACAGTACCAGTGTTAAGTGATGGCTACTACACAGTACCAGTGTTAAGTGATGGCTACTACACAGTACCAGTGTTAAGTGATGGCTACTACACAGTACCAGTGTTAAGTGATGGCTACTACACAGTACCAGTGTTAAGTGATGGCTACTACACAGTACCAGTGTTAAGTGATGGCTACTACACAGTACCAGTGTTCAACACATAGTACCAGTGTTAAGTGATGGCTACTACACAGTACCAGTGTTAAGTGATGGCTACTACACAGTACCAGTGTTCAACACACAGTACCAGTGTTAAGTGATGGCTACTACACAGTACCAGTGTTAAGTGATGGCTACTACACAGTACCAGTGTTAAGTGATGGCTACTACACAGTACCAGTGTTCAACACATAGTACCAGTATTAACTGATGACTACACACAGTACCAGTGTTCAACACAGTACCAGTGTTCACCCACACAGTACCAGTGTTAACTGATGACTACCACACAGTACCAGCGTTCAACACACACAGTACCAGTGTTCAACACACAGTACCAGTGTTCACCCACACAGTACCAGCGTTCACCACACAGTACCAGTGTTCAACACACAGTACCAGTGTTCACCACACAGTACCAGCGTTCACCACACAGTACCAGTGTTCAACACACAGTACCAGTGTTCAACACACAGTACCAGTGTTCAACACACACAGTACCAGTGTTCAACACACAGTACCAGTGTTCAACACACAGTACCAGTGTTCAACACACAGTACCAGTGTTCAACACACAGTACCAGTGTTCAACACACACAGTACCAGTGTTCAACACACAGTACCAGTGTTCACCACACAGGAAGAAGAACTCACGTGAACAAACGGGTTAATGTTGGTGGTTGCCAGAGGACGGGTGTTACCCTCTGACTGCTATACCACAGCCCATCACCAAGACTTCTTTCTTAAAAACCGCCTCATTGGTAAATTATTTTTGCATTTACACTCTCACGCCCTGCTCCGTGGCGCAGCGAAATCCCCTATTTTCTCTCTCTCCCTCTCAGGAGAAAACACCGTCACTGGAGATTGTGTTGGGGGGAGGATGATGGATCATTCACAGAGGCTAAGAGGCCGGCGCGCGCACTCACACCCTCCCAAGACACCTTCACTACTGAGATTAAGACGTGATTGTAAGCTACCCTCATTCACCACACCCCGAGCTGACACTCAATTACATCTCGCTTTCTTGAGCCCAAAACACCGTTACAAGACTCTGGGGAATGTCGCCAAGTAGGGTGTTTGTTGTAGCCAAGAGTTGCATGTGGAAGAGGGCCATGAGGAAATGTATTATGGTGGATGCAAGAGGGAAATACAATAGTGGAATAAGGCAATGAGTAACTGATGCCTTGAGGCTAGGCTCCGCCCCGTACCCATCTTAGTTGCCAAGTATCGCATTAACCTCCTTTGGTATATATAAACCCCTTAACTATTTGTCTTTTATGAAGCGCATTATCAGATGAACAAAGCAGACGATAGGTCATAGTCGCAATGTTGGTATGACTGACTGGTAACAAAAATTCACTGCCAATAATTAAAACAAGATAAATTAAAAATCTGGCACAAAATTGCCACCATTTGAGTAGGATGCCTTAGGGCATATACAAAAAAGGTAGCATTTCCATACACGCATTTTATTATTTTAAATCTATATAGCAGATAAATGAGGACAAAATCAAATACCTTCGGAAGAGTATAACCCGGAAGGTATGATTTGTAGCCAAGGAAAGATGGTTGATGTTGATATTACTTGATAATGTGGAAATAAATGAGGCGTGGGTGGGTGTGGCGGCGTGTGGCAAGGAGCGACCTGCCCCGCGCGCTGGGATCATCAGAGCGACATCATCATCACCATACTCTTCACGTATGCCTTTATTTCTTCCCTTCCTTGCCTCTCCCGCTGCTCCTGCTCCTCCCTAATCACACCTCATACTCACCACTCATACCGAGACTCATCCCCGAGGCGTCAGATCTTACCTGTAGCCGCTATTAAATATTTAAGAAACCAGGGGGTGGGTGGGTTACGTCTCCAAGACATGAATGAAGTCCTCACAGACAAGCCAGCTACTTGGCCATCAGGGTGTTGACAGCCTCATCAACTCCCGGGTACGGCTTACTCATCAAACACTCAATTATCCAGACAGGCCGAGTGCCCGGCAAGCAGTTAGCGAGCAATAAAACAGTTTATCTCTTTATGTTTTGTATTTTCTCAGCGGTGACGTGGCTGGCCAAGCCACAGAAGGACTTTGTTTAATGCAGATCTCTTTTCCCTGACGCCCTGAGGAGCTAGGAGCTAGGGAGAGGCCGATGCCCTGAAGGGGGCTTGCAGTCTACACATGTCGGCTTCTTTAACTGTATGGTATACATGGGGACAGGATGAACAACCCAGCGGGTTTTCTTCCTATTGGGGAGTGTTGTACATGCTGCTATGGCGCTGCCCAATAAACTCGCCCCTCGGGGCAAAATTTAATTTAAAATGGGGAGGAACTATGTGTACTCACCTATTTGTGCTGGCGGGGGTTGAGCTCTGGCTCTTTAGTCCCCGCCTCTCAACTGTCAATCAACTGGTGTACAGATTCCTGAGCCTACTGGGCTCTATCATATCTACATTTAAAACTGTGTATGGAGTCAGCCTCCACGACATCACTGCCTAATGCAGTTCATTTACTAACTACTCTGACACTGAAAAAGTGCTTTCTAACGTCTCTGTGGCTCATTTGGGTACTCAGTTTCCATCTGTGTCCCCTTGTTCGTGTTCCACCCGTGCGGAAGAGTTTGTCTTTGTCCACCCTGTCAATTCCCCTGAGAATTTTGTAACTGGTTATCATGTGTCCCCTTACTCCTCTGTTTTCCAGGGACATGAGTTTCAGCTCCTTTAGCCTTTCCTCGAAGCTCATACCTCTCAGTTCCGGGACGAGTCTGGTGGCATATCGCTGAATCTTCTCTAACTTTGTCTTGTGTTTAACTAGATGTGGATTCCAGGCAGCAGCTGCATATTCCAGGATTGGTCTTACATAAGTGGAATACAGGGTCCTGAACGATTCCTTACACAAGTTTCTAAAGGCAGTTCTTATGTTGGCCAACGTAACATATGCCGCTGATGATATCCTTTTGATGTGGGCCTCTGGGAACGGGTTCGGTGATATCAACATCCAGATCTCTCTATTTGACTCTTGCAGGATTTCACCTCCCAGATGGTACCTTGTGTTCAGCCTTCTGCTCCCTTCGCTTAAATTTCATTACTTTACACTTTCCTGAGTTGAACTTTAGCCATTTTCTAGACCATTCCTCCAGTCTGTCCAGGTCGTCCTGTAGTCTCTGTCTATCTTCATCTGTCTTGATTCTTCTCATATTTTTTGAATCATCAGCAAACATTGAGAGGAATGAGTCTATACCCTCTGGAAGTATTTATATACTGGAGGACTGTAGGTATGGTGAGCCGGTCGGCCGAGCGGACAGCACGCTGGACTTGTGATCCTGTGGTGCTGGGTTCGATCCCAGGCGCCGATGAGAAACATTGGGCAGAGTTTCTTTCACCCTATGCCCCTGTTACCTAGCAGTAAAATAGGTACCTGGGTGTTAGCTGTCACGGGCTGCTTCCTGGAGGTGGAGGCCTGGTCGTGGACCGGGCCGCGGGGACACTAAAAAGCCCCGAAATCATCTCAAGATAACCTCAAGATAAGATGGTATACACGGGAGGGGTGGGGGGGACTATACATGGACCGGGGATAGGACACAGGACAAGAAAAATAAAAAGAGGACAGAAGACAGAGGAGGACAGAAGACAGGACAGGAATCAGAGGAGGACAGAAGACAGGAGGACAGGAATCAGAGGAGGACAGAAGACAGGAGGACAGAAGACAGGAGGACAGGAATCAGAGGAGGACAGAAGACAGAGTACAGGTGACAGAAGATCACCATACTCTGTAAACCAGTGATCCTCAACCAGTATTGCCGAACTCGTCCAGAAATTGCACATTAGTGAAAAATACATATATATAACCCATCCACCTATTCGTTACCAAGTAAAAAATAAAAAATGTATTTGATATCCTAATAAAACAATGTAGCAATCTGAAAGTCTTGGTTATACATATTCCCATTATAGTTATTATAGCAGCGAGATTAGACGTTGGAGGAGAAATTGCTTTCTAGTGGCGATTTTTGTATATTTTTTTTTTTTAGTGGCAAGGAATTCAGTTTTCAGTTGACAGATTTGGCCACTCCCGTCAACTACTTCCAACTATAGGTTTTGTTGCTGTCAAAGTGTTTATGTAACTTACAGGTTATTACAGTACACGAGAAAAGTATTTATTTATTACTGTAATATCGATTGTTGAGACATTGCTCTTTATTAGATAGTTTCCTTTAAGACGTGATGAGGTATAGTGCTGATAGCATGTTCACTCACCTCTTGTGAAATGGGCTTCAGAAGAGGTGGTTCTTGACGGTACTGGCTTCAGAAGAGCTGGTTCTTGACGGTACAGGCTTCACAAGAGCTGGTTCTTGACGGTACAGGCTTCAGAAGAGCTGGTTCTTGACGGTACTGGCTTCAAAAGAGCTGGTTCTTGACGGTACAGGCTTCAGAAGAGCTGGTTCTTGACCGTACTGGCTTCAGAAGAGCTGGTTCTTGACGGTACTGGCTTCAGAAGAGCTGGTTCTTGACGGTACTGGCTTCAGAAGAGCTGGTTCTTGACGGCACAAGCTTCAGAAGAGCTGGTTCTTGACGGTACTGGCTTCAGAAGAGCTGGTTCTTGACGGTACTGGCATCAGAAGAGCTGGTTCTTGACGGTACTGGCTTCAGAAGAGCTGGTTCTTGATGGTACTGGCTTCAGAAGAGCTGGTTCTTGATGGTACTGGCTTCAGAAGAGCTGGTTCTTGACGGTACTGGCTTCAGAAGAGCTGGTTCTTGATGGTACTGGCATCAGAAGAGCTGGTTCTTGACGGTACTGGCTTCAGAAGAGCTGGTTCTTGACGGTACTGGCTTCAGAAGAGCTGGTTCTTGACGGTACTGGCTTCAGAAGAGCTGGTTCTTGACGGTACAGGCTTCAGAAGAGCTGGTTCTTGATGGTACTGGCTTCAGAAGAGCTGATTCTTGACCGTACTGGCTTCAGAAGAGCTGGTTCTTGATGGTACTGGCTTCAGAAGAGCTGGTTCTCAACGGTACTGGCTTCAGAGGAGCTGGTTCTTGACGGTACTGGCTTCAGAAGAGCTGGTTCTTGACGGTACAGGCTTCAGAAGAGCTGGTTCTTGACGGTACTGGCTTCAAAAGAGCTGGTTCTCTCCAGTACTGGCGTCAGAAGAGCTGGTTCTCGACGGTACTGACGTCAGAAGAGGTGGTTCTCGACGGTACAGGCTTCAGAAGAGCTGGTTCTTGACGGTACAGGCTTCAGAAGAGCTGGTTCTTGACGGTACTGGCTTCAAAAGAGCTGGTTCTCTCCAGTACTGGCGTCAGAAGAGCTGGTTCTTGATGGTACTGGCTTCAGAAGAGCTGGTTCTTGATGGTACTGGCTTCAGAAGTGCTAGTGGTTCTCGACGGTACAGGCTTCAGAAGAGCTGGTTCTTGATGGTACTGGCTTCAGAAGAGCTGGTTCTCGACGGTACTGGCTTCAGAAGAGCTGGTTCTTGATGGTACTGGCTTCAGAAGAGCTAGTGGTTCTCGACGGTACAGGCTTCAGAAGAGCTGGTTCTTGATGGTACTGGCTTCAGAAGAGCTGGTTCTCGACGGTACTGGCTTCAGAAGAGCTGGTTCTTGATGGTACTGGCTTCAGAAGAGCTGGTTCTTGATGGTACTGGCTTCAGAAGAGCTAGTGGTTCTCGACGGTACAGGCTTCAGAAGAGCTGGTTCTTGATGGTACTGGCTTCAGAAGAGCTGGTTCTCGACGGTACTGGCTTCAGAAGAGCTGGTTCTTGATGGTACTGGCTTCAGAAGAGCTAGTGGTTCTCGACGGTACAGGCTTCAGAAGAGCTGGTTCTTGATGGTACTGGCTTCAGAAGAGCTAGTGGTTCTCGACGGTACAGGCTTCAGAAGAGCTGGTGGTTCTCTCCAGTACTGGCTTCAAGAGAAGTGGTTTCAGGATAACGAGTTTGATTCGTTCTTAACAGAATACAAGAATTTTATTCACGTGAATTAGCTCTAAAACTCACATGATAATACAGTTTTAGTGAAAAAAAAAATAATAATAATCTATGTTAAATTTCACACTTACGATATATTATCCAAAACGGTTTCCAAAACTAGTAAAAAATCACTGCAAGCTGAATAATCTATGGCGCAGAGTGACACACCCTGCCGCCGGTAGTGTGAGGACTGAGCGGGCGCCGCGTTGACCTCTCCTTTATATACCCTCTGCCTCGTGGGGGTTGCCATGTTGCATCTTTGAAGGTAATTTGTGTGTGCTCTTTGAAGAGCTGGTGAGGTCATGGCATTGCAATTGACTGATCAACCAGCAAGTATACTTTAGTCTTGAATATGGTATATGCACCGAGAAGCTGGGGTATACCTCTCGGGGTATATATCCTTACTATTTGAGTGCCTCTCATGTTGCCATATGGTGCTGTTCATTTATCTCTCCGCCTGTCTCTTGTGTTGTCTTCTTTATCAATAAAATAGTCTGTCTGTTCGAGGTTGGAGACCAGGAGCTTAATGCTTGCTTCATTAAACCTTGCAGGATCAATAGTGCCCCCCCTATAGGGGAGCGCGGCCCCATAGCCCCTCCTTCACGAAGTCTGTGAATGTGAAATGTTCAGCCGCGAGTCCGTAGACTTTCGTACTAGTTGAAATAATAGTGAATTCAGATATATTGATTTTGAAAACATGTTTTCATATGACACCTTTGGGATTCTGGGTGCAACCCTTTGTTGACATTGACGGTGGTAAAGTGTGCGAGTGTGGCCAGGGAGGGAGGAGATTGGAAAAGGACATTATATCATATCATCATGACATGATGACGTGATGGTTATGTTACTTAACGATGTCGTTTAGTTGGCTGAACCACTAATTGCCTCGTTGACGAGATCCCACACAGTCAAATCATGCAGCAAGACCACACCGTGAGCCCAAGGAGTGGGCGCACCATAGTACCGTGATGGGTCAAGAGGGAACTAGCACGTACTGAAGTAGCGTACGTAACGCACCGTACTTGTCGCGCAGCAGTAGCAGCGGCAGGCTAAGTAACATGTTGGGAAGGTCGCGTGAGTACAGCAACAGGAGTAAAGCAACAGTGAGTACAGCAACAGTGAGTACAGCAACAGAGACAAGAGAAGGGTGAGGAAGATCCCTAGAAGCCCAAATTGCAAGAAAAACCTCTAATATAATAGAACATGTCTCCCATAA